AGTGTGGAGGAGTCACTGGAGGTGACCCTGGTGTTGTGTGTGCAGGGTCCCCTCCCTTCTTTCCTCCTCCCGGGGGCACATGGGTCAGGAGGCTGTGTGTGAGTAGCCAGGGCCAGCTGTGCTGGAGCTGTCAGTGTCAGGTCAGTGGATCAGAACTCTTCTGTTCTTCCTGCCGGTCACTGCAACCTCTGGATAACACTAAAGATTACTTCTATATCCTGCACTGGTAAGAGGTCCACCTAACATCATCACCATAGGGGTCACCTGACACCACATCCACCATAGAGGTCCAGTTTTATATATTTTCTTTAGGGGGGAGGGGGGTGCAAGTAGCTGGTCTTGCCTAGGGTTCAAAATAGTCTAGCACCGGCCCTGCCTGCAGTTATACCTTCCACACTCTCTTCTGTACCTATTGTCCCTTGTCAAACCCTTCTCTCTTCTCTCCTGCGTATACTGGACCATGTCATAAACTATACATTGCTCATGTGCACATACTGCCCCATGTTATACCCTTCACATGCCTCTCCTGCACATACTGCCCCATACTGTGCCCTCATCTCCTGCGCATACTGCCCCATACAGCGCCCTGTGCACTCATCTCCTGCACATACTGCCCCACACTGTGCCCTATGCATGCATGCATGCCCCACACTTGCCCTATGCATGCATCTTCTGCATATACTGCCCCATACTGTGCCCTATGCACTCATCTCCTGCCCATACTGTGCCCTGTGCACTTATCTCCTGTACCTACTGCCCCACACTGCGCCCTATGCACTCATCTCCTGCATAAACTGCCCCATACTGTGCCCTATGCAATCATCTCCTGCACATACTTCCCCACACTGTGCCCTGTGTACTACCCTTCACATGCCTCTCCTGCACATACTGCCCCATACTGCGCCCTCATCTCCTGCGTATACTGCCCCATACTGTGCCCCGTGCGCTCATCTCCTGCGCATACTGCCCCACACTGTGCCCCGTGCGCTCATCTGCGCACACTGCCCCACACTGTGCCCCGTGCGCTCATCTGCGCATACTGCCCCACACTGTGCCCCGTGCGCTCATCTGCGCATACTGCCCCACACTGTGCCCCGTGCGCTCATCTGCGCACGACTGCCCCACACTGTGCCCTGTGCGTTCTCCTGCGCATACTGCCCCATATTGCCCCCCATCCTGTGCATACTGCCATACTGTGCCCCGTGCGCTGATCTCCTGCGCATACTGCCCCATACTGTGCCCCGTGCGCTCATCTCCTGCGCATACTGCCCCACACTGTGCCCCGTGCGCTCATCTCCTGCGCATACTGCCCCACACTGTGCCCCGTGCGCTCATCTGTGCATACTGCCCCACACTGTGCCCTGAGCACTCATCTGCGCATACTGCCCCACACTGTGCCCTGTGCACTCATCTCCTGCATATACTGCCCCACACTGTGCCCTGTGCGCTCATCTCCTGCGCATACTGCCCCATACTGTGCCCCGTGCGCTCATCTCCTGCGCATACTACCCCATACTGTGCCCCGTACTCTCATCTCCTGCGCATACTGCCCCACACTGTGCCCCGTGCGCTCATCTCCTGCGCATACTGCCCCACACTGTGCCCCGTGCGCTCATCTGCGCATACTGCCCCACACTGTGCCCCGTGCGCTCATCTCCTGCATATACTGCCCCACACTGTGCCCTGTGCACTCATCTCCTGCATATACTGCCCCATACTGTGCCCCGTGCACTCATTGCGCATACTGTGCCCCCCCACACTGTGCCCCGTGCACTCATCTGCGCACATACTGCCCCACACTGTGCCCCGTGCGCTCATCTGCGCATACTGCCCCACACTGTGCCCCGTGCGCTCACCTGCGCATATTGCCCCACACTGTGCCCTGTGCGTTCATCTCCTACGCATATTGCCCCACATTGTGCCTTGTGCGCTCATGCACTCCTGCGCATACTGCCCCACACTGTGCCCCGTGCGCTCATCTCCTGCGCATACTGCCCCATACTGTGCCCCGTGCGCTCATCTCCTGCGCATACTGCCCCACACTGTGCCCCGTGCGCTCATCTCCTGCGCATACTGCCCCACACTGCCTCGTGCGCTCATCTCTCCATGCGCATACTGCCCCACACTGCGCCCCGTGCGCTCATCTCCTGCATATACTGCCCCACACTGTGCTCTGTGCACTCATCTCCTGCATATACTGCCCCACACTGTGCCCTGTGCACTCATCTCCTGTATATACTGCCCCATAACTGTGCGCCCTGTGCACTCATCTCCTGCATATACTGCCCCACTCTGTGCCCTGTGCACTCATCTCCTGTATATACTGCCCCATACTGTCCCCTGTGCACTCATCTCCTGCATATACTGCCCCAATGCGCCCTGTGCACTCATCTCCTGTATATACTGCCCCATACTGTCCCCTGTGCACTCATCTCCTGCATATACTGCCCCATAATAATGCATATACGCCCCCTGTGCACTCATCTCCTGCATATACTGCCACTTCTTTAGCATTGTTGGTTAAATTTCCAATATTTTCCATTCGGGAACAGGCATACTTTTGCTAGTTATTCTAAACTCCCACAGGACAGGTTTTGCTCCAACTTATTTCTTACATATCTTCGTTCTGCTTAGCTGATTTAATTGTGACAAGTAAAGTTGTATCAATCTCAGCATGTCGTTTTAGCCACATACAGTATATTTTCATTGGTTTTATGTTTATATTGACCTCACTGGAATCCACTGTGCTGGGAGGGACACCCCCACCTGATTATGTTTTTACCATTTTGTATGTGTTGTTATGAAGATGACACAAAACATTTGGAGTGTTTATCTATCCATTATCAGCATTGTAAAGAAGCTCCCACGTTGGTGTCTGAAGCTGAAGGGGACCCGAAGCCCTACATTCCTAGGAAGAGGCTTTTAATTGCCAAGGATACACTCACCACCCTGGGAGAAACAATGCTGAACATCAACAGAGAGGAGCTAAACCATTAATTTCAGTGCTTCTGTCTGGAAGTCATAGGTGCCTCTGTGTTGGTGTTCAGCTTCTTGGAATATAAAGAACATTTCCAGGCAGCAAGAGCAACCAATCAGTGTACTACTTATGCTATCCAGAAAACATAAGGGGTGTGCTAAAATGACAAAGTTCACTCAATTATAATTAACCATTTGCCACCCGCCCTATGGCCGAATGGCGGCATGCAAATGTCATCAGCGTTCCGGGTGGACGCCATATGGCATCCTCCCGCACATGCACAGATCTCGCTCCTGCAGAGCCGCGCAGCGGCGCGATCTGTCACCGGCCGTGTACCTCGGACACGGCCGATGACAGATCTGAGTACCGGCCCCCGTTGCCGGTACCATGTGACCAATCACAGCAGGTCACATGACAGTTGTATACAATGGATGGCTTCATTCATGCCATCCATTGTATACTAGTGTCTAGCTGTGAATGGTCACAGCTAATCACATGCACATGTCATGTGATTAGCTGTGGCCAAATCACAGCTAAGCACAAAAAAAAAAAAAAAAAAAAGACCCTGAATGAATCAATGTCATTCAGGTGAATGCTTGCTTATAGCAAAATAATTCTTTGCTATAAGCAAATTGTGTAAAAAAAAAATGCCGATCACTTCCCCAAAGTAGTACAATGTTACTATGGTAACATTGTACTACTTTGGTCATAGTGAAATATGAAAAAAAAATCTTAAAAAAAAGAAAAAAAAATTATTAAAAAATAATAAAAAATATATATATTTTTTTTTTTTCATACTGTCACCAGTCAGTGTCCCTGTTCACCGCCATGCCAGTTATATGATGACGCTGTACTGCACTGGTGACAATATGTAAAAAAAAAAAATAGTGAAACTAATTTTTTTAATTTTCCAAAAAAATATGACAAAAAATACAACTTCAAAAAACTTGCCATGCCTCTTATGAAGTACGTCGGACTATCTACTTTACAAAAAGGGGTCATTTGGGGGATATCTGCACTGTTCTGACATTCTGGGACCTCAAGAAATTAGATTGGCTGTCAGTACTTCAGGATTGATCAATATTCAGATCTATACATAGTTTGTGAACTCTATAACTTTCCTACAAACTAAAAAATACATCCTAATTTGGGTTATTTTCACCAAAGACATGTAGCAGAATACATCTCGGCCTAAATTTATGAAGAACAATTATTTATTTGCAAACTTTTTTCTAATTTCTTTTCTAATTTTTTGGTCTTTTTTTGTTAATTTAGCAAAAAATAAAAACCCCAGCAGCAATTAAATACCACTAAAAGAAAGCTCTAGTTGTGTGAAGAAAATGATAAAATTTTAGTTTGGGTACAATGTTGTATGACCGCGCAATTGTCATTCAAAGTGTGAGAGCACTGAAACCTGAAAACTGGCCTGGGCAGGAAGGTGTAAAATTGCCCGGTATTGAATTGGTTAAAATATATGTAAACCCAATAACTGAAATCCTATGTAATATTTAATTTCAACATTTCATTCTAAGATTTTTAATCTGCAGTGAACACCTCACAGGGTCACATCCTGAAGCCTATGCTGTGTAAGTGCCTATCACCCGGCTTCCTGTACCACCAATCCCATTCAGCCTTTCTAACCACTTGCCCTCCTGAGGATTTATTCCCCTTTCTGACCAGGCCATTCTTTGTGTTAGGGTGCTGCAATACTTTAACTGACAACACTGCACCCAAATGTAATTTATGTGCTTTTTTCCCACGAATTGAGCTTTCTTTCGGTAGTATTTGATCGCCTGTGCGTTTTTTATTTTTTGCGCTATAAACAAAAAAAAAACCCCGATAATTTTAAGAAAAAATCTATATTTTTGACTTTTTGCTATTAAACATCCAGTAAAAAAATTGCAAAAAATCTAATTTCGTCATAAATTTAGGGTAAAATATATTCTGCTCCATGTCTTTGCTAAAAAAAATCCCAATACATGTAAATTAATTTGTTTACGTGAAAGTTATAGCGTTTACAAATGGCGGTATAGATACTGGAATTTTTATTTTTACTAGTACTGGCGGCGATCAGCGACTTATAGCGGGACTGCGGCGGGCATTCTGAAACTGGGGGGAACTGACTTGGTGTCACTGACATCTCCAGTGACACCAATACAGTGATCAGTGCTAAAAAAAGCACTGACCAGGGGCGGACTGACCATTTGGAAAACACAGGCACTGCCCGAGGGCCCGGGGTCAGTAGGGGGCCCCATGAGATGTCCCTGGTACCTTTTTCATAGGCTTTTTTAAGTTTGGGCAAGGACACAGGGGCCCCATGATCCCCTATTGCCTGGGGGCCACATGAGTTGTCAGTCCGCCCCTGGCTCTGACACTGTACTAATGGCACTGGGCAGGAAGGGGTTAACATGAGGGGCAATCAAAGGGTTAACTGTGCTGTGTGTTGTTTTGCATACTGGGCTGTGTTGGTGCTTCACTGTACTCATGCTGCTTTGGATGGCTGTGCTCTGCACAGCCATCCAAAGCCGTGTGCACGAGATGACAAGAAGGAGAACTTTTTAAACCTTTGCACTTGCTCTTTGTGGTATTCACAGCATAAGATGTGCATTGATCATGTTGTTTCATGGTGTCATCCTTTCCCCGTAAAGACAGCCTATAGTAGAGTAAATTTTCACTTTCCTGCGTCAGAAGTTTCTGTTTTTGTTCAAACATTAGGCATGTGGCATGGCACTGCACTGCACCGTTTAATGCATGACCTCTGCCTGTAGTCAAAAAACTGACAATTCCTATGAAGAAACTAATATCTCACAATCCCTGGACCTCTCAGTCTAGTGCTCTGCAGGTGAGAGCTACACAGTAATTAGATCTGACACAGGCACAAACAGGCAGAGCAACAAAGGGAAGAGATGTGTTTCCGTCACATCAACATTCCCAAATTTGTGATGCAACACAGAGTAAATGGCAAGACATGGATTGGACTCTGCATGACTCAGAACAAGAAGTTGCCTGTCACTTTAATAAATAGACAAGCTAGGTGAATGAATACATGGACATCAGAGAATCCATAAGCCATGACACTACAAACTGCAATCACAACATGTGAGCCCATATGTACAATGCCTTTAGTGAAGACAGTAAAAACCATACACTGTTCAAATTTCACCGGATTCCCAATGAACCAGACGAAAGTCATCCCATCCCGACCGATATCCTTCGATTGAAAGATAGAAAGAGCTGGGCGGAAAATTTTTGGCCCAACAGCAGTTACATCCAATCAGATGTAACTGCTGTTGCATCCAATCATATGCAGCCATTGTTCAGGTATTCTGACAGCTGTTAGCGGCCATCACAATACAATAAGTGCAGCAAGGGAACTTGCCCATTCACACTGTACAGCATGGAATCTGTTAGATTTTCTTTGTTCAGCCCATAGAATGTGGTCAGCTTAAAGTGGAGCTGAATGCAAAACATACACAATTGTGAACAGACTGTCCCTTTATTGCAGCAGAGACATGCAATTTCTCTTCTGCAATAAAATATTTGATTATATACTGTATTTTTCGCCATATAAGACGCTCCGGAATATGAGACGCACCCAATTTTAAAGGAGGAAAATCTAGAAAAAAAAGATTCTGAACCCAATACTGTAGTAAAATATTTTATATCAACTGTATAAAGTTAACAGCAGTTTAAGAACAATTTTATGCCAACCATGTAACAAATCCAGAAATGAAAGAACTCACGGTTCGGATCGTTCCACGGATCAGGAGTCACGGATCGGATCTTTTTCGGATCAGTAAAAAAAAACAAGACAAACATACCGGTACGTTTTGTCTTTTTGTTTAATACATCATCCACCATTGCCCCCACTCATCACGTAATGTCCACCATTGCCCCCACTCATCACTGTAAAGTCCACCCTTGCCCCCCACTCGTCATCACCATCACTGTTCCAGTGCAACATTGCCCCCACATTAGTAATAATAGCCAGTAACATTGCCCCCACATTAGTAATAATAGCCAGTAACATTGCCCCCACATTAGTAATAATAGCCAGTAACATTTCCCCCACATTAGTAATAATAGCCAGTAACATTTCCCCCACATTAGTAAATAATAGCCAGTAACAGTGCAATGCCCCCACACATTAGTAATAATAGCCAGTAACATTGCCCCCAACATAGTAATAATAGCCAGTAACATTGCCCCCACATTAGTAATAATAGCCAGTAACATTGCCCCCAACATAGTAATAATAGCCAGTAACATTTCATTGCCCCGCGCCTCACCTGTTGTTGTAGATCCGCGCTATGGTAGGATCCACGAGCAGAGGGGGTGATGGCGACAGTGCGCGCACCGCCGGGTGTACTAAGATGGCCGACCGCTCCAGAGATAGGCCAAAGCCGCGGCCTTTCCTACGGCCGTGGCCGCGCCTCACGGATTCTCTCTCTATTCGTCGTATAAGACGCACCAACTTTCCCCCCCCAGTTTTGGGGAAGAAAAAGTGCGTCTTATACGGCGAAAAAAATACGGTAGGTTGGATTCCGGAGAATGCTCTTCTTCTTGGGACTACAGGCTGAAACTTTGAGCAGGGACCCGGCTGATGTGGAGAGTTCAGCAGACCAAGTGGTCCGGACGGTGTGGAGAGTTTTTGGTGAGTTCTGTGCATGAAGGTAAAAAAAACTTACGTGTGCTGCTCCTCTCACAGCCCCTCCTAATACTCACCTTAGCCCTCGTTCGATTCAGCGATGTTCAAGAGCCTCGACTTTGCCAAAACTCCCTCTTCTCACTGGCTGAGACAGCAGCGGGAGCCACTGGCTCCCACTACTGTCAATCACAGTCAGTGAGCCAATGAGAAGAGAGCAGGGACGGGGCCGAGCCATAGCTCTGTGTCTTATGGAGAGCACACCAGTGCCCAGAGCCGCTGTTAGAAACCATGGGGCCCCATACAGCCAACCTGACAGGTCCCCCTACCCCCCAAAAAACACAGTTTACTATGCTTAAGTTATGAATGAACACAGTTAGCGATTGGTGCCGATCACTCACTGTGATCATTTACCAAACCCTTCCCCCACTCTAAATCCTGAAGGATCCTGTTGTGTGCTTGCAGCTGCTGATGATAAGGGGAGGAGAGAAGCTAGCAGCACTGAGGGGGGGTGGGGACACACAGGGGGGCTGGGCAACAGGGGGAAATGTATGGTGCAAGGGGAGGATGATGGGCACGGTGGGGGGGGGGGGAAATTACTGGAACCAATCTATATGGCTCTCTCTGCAGCAGCTAAAAACCAGTATGAAGAAGAGAAGAAGTCAGTTTTCCAGTGCTGCAGAAGGAGCCATACAGGAGAACGGTTCCAGTAATTGCCCCCCACCGCTGTGCCGATCACCCTCCCTGCCCACCTACGATTCACCCAGCTGCCTGGGCCCACCTGCTGGCCTGGACCCCATACAGGAGGACTGGTGGTACCCCTTTATCTATAGCCCTGCCAGTGCCCCCATAGCAAGCGGCTTGCTTCTGGGGGCACTGGTCGAGGGGGATGAGTCAGGAGTGGGACCTGAGAAGAAGAGGATCGTGGCTGCTCTGTGCAAAACCACTGCACAGCAGGTAAGTATGCCATGTTTGTTATTTTTTTTTTAAATAAAAAAGACAAACCTTTAATTCCACCTTAAACCGAACTGGAATGGTGGAAAAGCTTTGTCGATCAGTGGCTGCAGCCAATTGACTGCATCAGCTGATTAGTGTATTCTAACAGCAGAGGAGCCCCACTGTCACAATATAATACCTCGGTAGTGAGGATTCCTTCATCCATCTCACTTGTGTGGTTGGGGGAATCTGTTTATTTTTTCAATTGGCCTACTGTTTGATCAAAAAAAAGATAATGAGTCATCTATAGCCAGATTTTAGGCTGTACCTAGTCCCTTGTTACTAGTGCTTCCCCAAATAACTGACTAATCTTAGGGGGTACAATGAGAGCCATGTGTATGTGTTAGAAAATTCAGACCTAATGCTACTCTGAGGCCGGGTTAACACAGCAATGGTGAGCTGACCTAGCACTTTACAGCTCCAGCAGCTGTCCATTCTTGGCTGTGGTAGGCATGGCTGCTGTTGGAAATCATGGGGCCCCCATACAGCCAACCTGACATGGCCCCCCTTCCCCAACACAAAAAACACAGTTTACTGTGCTTTCAGTTATGAATTAACACAGTGAGTGATGGCTACCAATCACTAATTGTGTTCATTCAGGAAAGGAAGGGGCTGGTAACTGTACTCTTCCTCCATTCTTCATCCTGAAGGATCCTACTGCAGCTTTCAGTGTATTGCAGTGTGTCTTGCAGCTGCTGGTGGGATGGAGAGGAGGGAAGCCAAAAACATTGCAAGGGTGGGGGGCCTAGGCAGTAGGGAAAAGGTATTGTGCACAGGGGGGTGATGGGTGTGGCGGGGGTGGGTGGGGGGGGGGGGCGTTGAGCAATTAGTGGGAATCAATCCACTAATCGAGGAAAGATTAGAGGAGCTGAAGTTATTCTCTCTTGAGAAGAGGAGATTAAGGGGGGATTGATCTCCATGTATAATACATAAGGGGGGATATAATCTCCATGTATAATAGATAAGGGGGGGATATGATCTCCATGTATAATACATAAGGGGGATATGATCACCATGTATAATACATAAGGGGGATATGATCTCCATGTAAATACATAAGGGGGGATATGATCTCCATGTATAATACATAAGGGGGATATGATCTCCATGTACAAATACATAAGGGGGATATGATCTCCATTTATAATACATAAGGGGATATGATCTCCATGTATAATACATAAGGGGGGATATGATCTCCATGTATAATACATAAGGGGGGATATGATCTCCACGTATAATACATAAGGGGGATATGATGATTCTCCATGTATAATACATAAGGGGGGATATGATCACCATGTATAATACATAAGGGGGGATATGATCTCCATGTACAAATACATAAGGGGGGATATGATCTCCATGTACAAATACATAAGGGGGGATATGATCTCCATGTATAATACATAAGGGGGGATATGATCTCCATGTACAAATACATAAGGGGGATATGATCTCCATTTATAATACATAAGGGGGGATATGATCTCCATGTACAAATACAAAAGGGGGGATATGATCTCCATGTACAAATACATAAGGGGGGATATGATCTCTATGTATAATACATAAGGGGGGATATGATGATCTCCATGTATAATACATAAGGGGGATATGATCTCCATGTATAATACATAAGGGGGGATATGATCACCATGTATAATACATAAGGGGGGATATGATCTCCATATACAAATACAAAAGGGGGGGATATGATCTCCATGTACAAATACATAAGGGGGGGGGATATGATCACCATGTATAATACATAAGGGGGGATATGATCCCCATGTATAATACATAAGGGGGATATGATCTCTATGTATAATACATAAGGGGGATATGATCTCTATGTATAATACATAAGG